ATAAATTATATCAATTGAGATAGTTTTCAGTTTTAATTTTAATAAAGCTTAATTTTTTATTTATTAAATAGTGAAAAAATCTAAAGAGTTATAGTACAGAACAGAGATATTTAAATACATAATTAATATTAAATGAATTACAAATAATTTAATAATAAAATAGAAATTAATTGGTTTTAAATTATTAATCTTAAAGGTGACGCATCTCCAAATTATGCTATACTTAATGAATATATATAAAATATAAATAATAATGAAAAATAATTAATACGAATTAAAAATAATAAAAGAAAAAGAAAAAAAATGAATAAAAATAAAAGTAATTAAAAAAATATGTATCCAAATTAATAATATGATCTATATTTTGCATCTAATCTAATTAGTGAAACATTAAGAAGTATTAAATGTAGATCTGTATTCATTTCTAATATGTTATGCAAAAAATGATAAATATAACATAAAAAAGGATAAATATGATACAAGAAATTACAAGGATATGTGAAAATTATTACACAGATATTAATTGAGTTCTTGAATTATTATATAATATTATTGTCCATTATCATTTTTGATTATAACTCTATGAGTTAAAAAAGAGATCACTCTATTTGGTTGATATAAGAATAAATTTTTTAGCATCTTGGCAAAACATTTTTTTATATATGATGAGATTCATTCAGATAGAGATATTGTAGAAATAAAAAGAATTAAGAAGAGAAGTTTAAAAGAATACAGATAATTTTGAAAGTGATAATTTTAAAAGGAGAGTTCAGAAAAAAATGTTCTATTTATAGTGTTTTCAAAGGGAAGATAGTATTATGATATTAAATTATGATAAAAGTAATAATAAGAGATCTATATATTCTATTACTACTTCTAATTCAAATAAAGTTGATTATTCATGAAATATTTTTAATTGTACATTATTAATTAATTTCTTGAGTGACTATTCTTGTTACTTTTATAAGCTATATACTTCATTTTGATAAATTTCATATATATAGTATCATTTTTCTTTTTATTAAAATTTAAACTTGTTTTAATATTCAACATGTTTTTTCATATTGTAAACTAGAACTTTGTCTCCAATTTCAAATTGTTATACTTTTTTTAATTTTCTATCATAATATTCTTTTAATTTTTCTTGTAAAAAGTTAATGTTCTTTTTGATATCAATAACTTGTCCAGATAAATAATCGATTAAAGTAAATATTCTATTTAATAATTGTTCTTTTATTTCAACTTTTTTTTTGAGTGTTGTTTCAAATTTCAATTCTATTGATAGTTGTATTTCTCTTCCATATGTCAGAAAGAAAGATTCATGTCATGTGGTATTTTTTTGTAAAATTTTATAAGCAAATAATACAGCTGAAATATAATTATTTCATTCTTTATTTAGAGCAATAGTAAGTTTTTGTAATATTGTTAATAAGAAAAATAAATATTTAATATTAAATATTTTAATTATTAAAGTTTAGTTTATTTTTTATTGGTTACAAGTATATAAATTATAATTTTTCTTATTATATTTTTTACAAGTAACTTATCTTTTGATATTGTTTTTTTACAATTATATAAATAATTATTTTACTTGCTTAATTATAATTAATAGTAAAATTTTATTATTAGAAAAATATATTTTTGCATTAATAGATTGAACTAACTCTTTATAAATATCTTAAAAATAATTATATATAAAGATAGATCTCTAAACTATTCTAAAGAAATATAATTATAATCTTAATTAATTTTAGTTATATTTCTAAATTTTATCATCAGATTTAGAATTTATTTTTAGTTATATAATATATAAGATGAATAAATTCTGATAACTACTAATATATTTTAAAAATATAATATATACACAAGAAAATTATTACTCTTAAAATTGTTAATAAATATAAGTTAATAAGATATAATTTACAATATAAAAGCTATTATTGTTACTTTTAACTTCAAAAATTGATTCATTAACTTAATATATTATTTAGTTATGGTATTTATTAATAACTAACTGAAATTATAAAGCAGTTATATATGATAATATTGTCTGCACTAAAGAGTATGTTGTGTAATAAAGTATATTGAGCTTACACACAAATAAAATAATTGCTTCAAATAGTTCTATAAGATATTTGTTATGTAACCAGAAATTAAAGAACCAAATGATAACCAAATATATGTCGAGGACATTTGCTGAGAGTTCATGTTGCAGAAAATATTTTACTAAGATAAACAACAGCCTCTACATCCATATTGAAGATTTTTTCATAATATTATTAAATTCTTCTATGTGCAAAATCTTTGCTGCGGCCCAGACTTTACCTTCAAGCTTTGTTCTAAACTTCGTATTAATATTTTTCTCAATATATCATATACAATACACATAAAAAATATTGTGAAGTTTTGTTTGAACAATATCTGCGATTTCTATATATAAACAAAATATTATATTATAATACCAAAAATCAAATCAAATCAAATCAAATTATCTAAAGTATTAAAATATTAAAAAACACATTAATCAATTTACTTTTCATGATCATTTATAATTATGATTTTGTTTGTGTTCATTATTGGAAGAGCTGTACATAGATATTCGCAAAATCACATTCAATTCTTAGAATTTTCGATAGAACTATAGGAACAAGTTTGCCTTCATTATTAATTGCATTTGCACTAAAGTACACACCATTATAACTTGATTTTGAGTGACAGACATGAAGAGTAAACACATATCTGCAATGTTCAGCAGCTTTAATTCATGATTATAAGCAAGGAAGACATAGATAAACTGATTTTCATATCAGTCTCGAATGCAGTAATGCCAGGGTTTGCTGTAAGTAAATTGTCAAATAGTCGTTGTATACGTTGATAACTCTTATTTACTTTCTCTGCTTCACATTTTTATTAGCACTTTGGCTTCTCCAGGCTGTCATATATGATATTTAAGCACACACTTCTGAGCTAACACGATTTATAATGTCATGAGGTCAAAGTGCAGCTACATCTTCAACTAGTGACACATTAAACATTACAAGATATGATTCACGTGCTTTGATCATCTTCGTAAAGATAGGACAAGTTGGATTATAATGGATTAGCTTTATGATATGAATATAACCATCTTTACGTTTGTTAGCAGAAATGGCAAAGGGACATGTGCTGGTGTTATTCGTGGAACAAACAATAAGTAACTTGTTGGATTTGTTAGTCTTAAACTTATAATGTGAAGATGATTCAATAGAGTAGCTGTCCAGAACTGAGCGAACGTCTTCCTATTAGTAAATATCATGCCAATCTGCAATATCGTGTTTGACATGATCAAATAGCCTGTTATGAATGAGTTGTTGTAAAAATGGGCTGAGAAGTTAAATCGGAATGAGAAACCACTTTTAAATTTACAAAGCAAATAATTGGTTTTATTGAATTTAATAGACTAAAATATATGTACATTTTTCGTTTTACATTTATACTTTTACTAACACATTCTAATTACTAATTCACATTTATTTATGACTACATTTCTTATGCGCTTAATAGCTTATTAACGACTATATTTTTCCTGCTTGTGTCATCTTGAGTTATGATTTGAGTCATGGCGCTTGATGTACTAACTTTAAGCAGGGCCCTTATTTGTAATATTTTTCAAATCTTGGGTCTCTATACGTAATTATTTTTAATTTTGGCCCCTATATGTAATTATTTATAACTTGGGCCCTTATTTGTAATAATTTTCATTTTTGAGCCCTTATATGTAAATTCCCCAATAAACAAGCATTCATTTTAATTTGAAAATAGATTATTTTAAGATTTAATCAAAAAGCCAAATTTAAAACTACAATTTTCATAAAAATCGGCTCAAAATTTATCGAAATTTAAGATCCCGAAGGTCCGAATCTCTGCTAGGAGCATTAATTCTACTAGCAGAGATTCGGACCTTCGGGATCTTAAATCTCGATAAATTTTGATTTTTTTGAAATTATAGTTTTAAATTTGGCTTTTATCTTAGAGAAAAAATGTGTAGGTCGAAATTTACTAACTGAAAAATTTAGTTTGATCACTCAATTTCACAAAAATGTTTAAAATAATCTGTTGTCAAATTATTTAGAGGTTCAAGGTTTAAAATGAATACTGGTTCATATTGTTTATTGACAGGGATAAAAATTTTTATCTAATGTTCTAGAGCCACTCCACTGTATCTTTAGATTCTATATCCAATATACGTGTTCCTGTAGTGAGTTAGAAATAGTTCTTTTTGAATATTTTCTGGGTCAATAATATTCTTTATGAATATAAAGGGGTGGAATATTTTTACAATGGTAAAATCACCACCAAAATTAATTTTCGCAAATGTGATACGGAAAAACAACACTGCAAAAAGGTTGATTTAAGGTTAGGATTAGAGGAAAGATTATATGTAAAATTGCTTTTCATCAGTGCACCAAGCTAGATTTTGGCCTGCTTCCCGTATTTTTCACATTTCGCATTTCCATTTTCTTGTTTTGCCGGCTTGACCAAAAATTTGCGCGCCTTTCTGATATACGTATACGTTAGTATTGGTACATGTATTGTGCCACACTAGAGTACACGTGTATCAATATATGCATTACGTAATACATGTACCAATAACAATAAAGAATGACCTCGACCATTCAAAAGTTTTTTATCTCTCTAAGCCGCCCAAAAACTATAAGTCTGTCATCATATATATGCTTCAAATTTTTACGTGATTTAAAAAGAATTTGTCTCTAATGTCAAGCGCTACAAATAAAAAAACTGCATTGTCTAGATATTTCTACGTAGGTTATATTAACATTCTACATGTACATGCTTAAATATTTTTCAGCAACGGATAATCTAACATAATATGAATAAAATGATCTATATTTCTCCTCCACCACTCATCTAAAAATATTCAATGCTCAAATCCCCGCTAAACAACTCAATCAACGTCTCCTTCACAGACTCGTTTCCATTTGCGTCAGACCTTCGATACCACTTTATCGCCTCATGCATGTCCAGTGGGATTCCCGCACCGCATCGATAACAATCTGCCAAATTAAATTGTGCCGAGGAATCATGCTCATAGGCAGCCTGTTGATACCAAAAAAACGCAGCGCGATAATCTTTTCGGACCCCGTTTCCTATCGCAAACAAAACTCCGAGCTGATTTTGTGCTGACGGGTCTCCGCCGTTGGCCGACTGTCGATACCAACTATAGGCTTTTCGGTGATTTATTTCAGTGCCGATGCCTTGTTGATAGCACCACCCGGCGTAAAATTTTCCGCGGATTGATCCGTTTAGCGCGGCTTTTTTGTAATATTTGAATGCTTCTTTTTCATCGGGCTTTACACCAGCTCCTTTTTGTAAATGATGATCAATTATCCATTTTTATAATTTTATTGATAAAAAAGTCATCATTATCAATATTATTTCTACCCCATATTACCTTCATGATAACATTTTCCAACCATTAATTGTGCATCCAAGTCACCACTCTCTGCTGCTTTTTCGAACCATTTAAATGATTTTTCCAAATCTCTAGTGCATCCAATTCCACGAGAATAACAAGATGCTAAATTATACTGAGCATTAACATTTCCCGCGTCCGCCGCCAACTTCCACCAATAAATCGCCAACTTATCATTTTTCTCACGACCAATTGGCTTATAATAGCAATAGCCTAATCTCGCTTGACCAAATGCAAATCCAGCACTTGCACTTATCTCGTAGAGGTAACTTGCTCGCAATTCGTCGGCTGTTGTGCCGATTCCATAATTGTAAAAGAATCCAAGTATTAATGCGTATTTCGGAGTATTAATGTGATGGTAATTTGTAATCTGGAAAATGTATTTTAAATTTGTTATGTTTATCCAGTCGTAAAGATCTTTGACGATTTTTTCGTCAGTGTCTCCGAGATTTTTCCGGTCTGAATAGAATTCATAGAGTTCATCTATTATTTCTGGTTCATTCTTGCTTATACGAGTCATTATTCGTTATTGTTGTAAGATTTTATATTATGATTTTATATTGTGATTTTAATATTATGTTATTGTTATTATTATTCCAATAGTATTCTATATTGATGAAAATAATTTATTTGTTATCTACTTTTTACCTGCCGCTCTGTGGTCTTCATTTTTTTTAAAATCATGCGACCTTCTTATTAACAATACCATACTTCGACGACGATATTAAGTAAAAAAAGCTAGTGCTAGACAACAGATAAAACAATTTATTGTTGTTGTCGAAATGTGATACAGCATTAAAATTTTGCATAAAATGCTGTGTTACGAAATTTGAAACAATATCGATTTACATACGTAATTATTTAAATACAGAAAGTACGTGGCAGTAGAAAGTATCGATATCAATCAATCGATCAATTTTTCTTTATTCATTGCCATTTCACCAAGATACTTTATTTTCACACTCATATGCACAATGGTCTTAAGAAATTCTTTGTCAGAAACATCCGATTTTTTATTACCCCCGAATCATATTGTTTATTTTAGGTTTCGTTAGCCTCTTTATAACATTTATAATCTTTATCTATTGTTGATAAACAAGGAAACAAAGAATGCTGTCTAAAGACGGAGTATCCAAAAAGACAATGATTGTTTCGAAATTGTACGTGTGGAATTTATTTCAGCATGAAATATAAATGAATTTCGCTGCTTCTTTTTTCTAGATGCTCGTTATTAAAGCAGAACTTTTTGCATATCGATATGTTGATTAAACGGTATTACGTATGTGGATATTAATTTTCCTAGATTTAACAAAAAAATGGAATTTAAATTTAATTTCATATCCAGCTACGTAAATACGTAATATGCGAATTTATTCATTTTTTTTTCGCAAATAAAAGTTAAAATTCTTCCCGATTGTTATGACTGTTCAAGATGTAGTTGCTGCATATCATTTGAAATTTTTTATACCTCCATCTTTAATCATGTTATACACTTTCCATAGATGTTAAATTGGTAATATTGTTGAATTTCAAGAGTTCAAATCCTTTATTTTTTTACAGTTTAACTAGGGAAATGTCTTTTATCAAGTGATTTCCGCCTCACCTGACATAAATATTACATTTATCTTATATAACCTGATGACCCTCCCCTTAAAATTAGGTGATAAAAGACATTTCTAACAATAAGAAAGTAAATAATTTTTGCAGCAGTTAATGTTTCTCAGTATATGTAGTATTTTAATTAAAGTGAATTAATACGCACCCAATGCATTAGGCTTAAATCGCATAAATATTTTACAACAAAAAAAATAATTCTTCAATGAAAGAAATTATTTTTTATGAGGAATTTCAGAAATTGCTCCAGAATTCTTTATCTCCTTAAGAATTATGAGACAAAGAATGTAAAGAATTCTATTTCATATTTTTTTAAAAAATAAATCTACATAATGATTCTACTAGTTCTTTACATAAACAATTGAATCATTATTATAACTTTTCTTATTTGTAAATATAAATTTGGTGTTAATGAGCCAAAGAATCAAGTAAACTTTTAATTCTTAATAAATACTATAAATTATACTTATAAATAAAGTTGTCCAAAAATTGATATAATATTATATAATCTCAAACTGATCTTGAATTAAACTTAAATTTATATAATAATTCAGTACTTTGAATCTTTTTTGAACTCAAGCCAAATCTGATTTGAATTCACTTTAAATTTTGAATCAAATTCAAACAAAAGTTTAGTTTAGTTTATAAGAATACTAGCTTAAAATTATTGTTTACTAAAAAAAATTCAATATCAATAACTATATATAATATATTTTTATATGATTATACAAGATTTGATTTTGTTATTATACAAATTGTTTATTATATAAAATTTAATAAATATTTTATTATAAATGTAATAGTTTTTTAGTATATATAATCATATCAAGCTAGTTATTAATTAATTATAAATTAATTTTAATAAGTTTAAAATTATTAATTTTAAAAAAATCAAATTAATTAATTATAATAAGTAATATTTTTTAATATATTTTTATAAATAATTTTTATTAAATAAATTTATATTCAAAATTAATAATCTGTTTAAATTATTTTAGTTTTAAAATATAATTAAACTTATCTATAATTATTGCTCTTGAAAAAATAAATTTGGTAATTATAGAGAAAATATAACTATAAAAAGATATAATTATAAAGAAAATGTGACTATAGAGAGAATATAATTATAAAAAAAATATAATTATAAAGAGATATTTTATTATATTTATATATAAATAAGAAAGTAAACTAAGATAATTATAAAAAAATATAATTATAAATAGATATAATTATAAAAAAATTTAACTATAATTCAAATTTTATATTTTAAATAATTTTTATTTACTTATTTTTAATAAGTAATTAATAATAATTATTATTATGTACAAGTTTAATTAGTAACTAGCAAGAAAAAATTTCTAAACTTATAGTATATAATATCTAAAGTCATCAAACATTTATGTTTTATAAAATATATAAATATCTTTACTAAGAAATTTAATTTATAAATATGCTTAGAAAAAGTTTATTCTATTATATTCATAGATTAAATTTTGTATTTACTTTTTTATAAAGAAATTTATACATTTTGTAAAATACAAATGTTTAATGACTTTAGTTATTATATACCATAATAAATTTTGTATAATTATTTAAATTATTTGAAATTAATTAATATTTTAAAATAATTATAAAATTATTTTATCAAAAAATATATCTTTTTTGCTAGTTATAATCAAAATAATAATAATAATGTGTTCATTGAAGTTTGTTTCTTTGGCTTACTAAATATAACTAAGTCTAAAACGCTTATTACAAATAATTTGCATATTATTTCAAATATATATATATATATTAGCTATATTTTATTTTAGTTACTATAAAAAGTGATTCATTAAAGTTTGATTATTTTTGCAAAGTAAGAAATAATGTAATATTTATATAAGTGAAATGAAACACTATTTTTTATGAGAATTTGATAATATTATAATTGTCAAAATCTTTTAATAGTTTCATAGTTATATTTTATGGAGTTATCTAATATAATAATGATATTTTTGTTTTTGTCACAAAATAAATAAAAATGTTGCACAAGATTAATCACATTCTGGCAGATATTATCTGGCAAGAAATTTGAATATAGTCAAATTACTTTATAATTATTCTCTCTATAGTCATATTATATAAAAGCCTGCTATAATCACTTTTTTCAAGAATCAGTTATAATAAAAGTATCTCACTATAAACACATTCATATATGTTTTTTAATTTGAACATATCAATGTTAAAGTTAAAGCTTTTTCTTAATTAGGACACTTTGATAAGTTGCATACAAGCATGGTAAACTTGTAGGAAAAATATATTATTACTAGGAAACGGAAACAGTTTTAAGTCCAGAGTTATGTTTTATTGGTTTCCAATTACGTAATTTTCATACTCGTGATAAGCATCTTATTTTTAAACAAAGAACGCAATTGGTTAATTTACGCGTGCGGACAAGAAAACGGAACAGAATCCCACGTGATCACAATTGTCACTATAAGTCGTAGAAATATAATGTCCTTCGCTACGCTCTGGACAATTAAACTAGAAAATACAATCACAATTTGGAGCATATCTAATTTTTGAAATTAACAGAAATTGCTAGCAATCCAATTTTAGAGTTATTACATCAAATGTTAAATGGTCCGTTCGGTCCGGTTTGGTCCAATCCCAAGTGGATCACAACCAGTCTCAAAATGAGATATTTCGTTTAATAAAGTTTCTCGCGTGTTGGAAATTTATATACAGCGTTATTAATTAATATTAATTCATTAGTAGTTTCGATAAAAGTCATGAAAATATTTAACACATAGTTTTTTTTTACCATAAATACGCGTTAATATTTGAGGAAATTTCGCATGTTAAACACGGCTCCAAAGGTTTATTATCATGCATGTAGGTGGAATTATAACAATTAATTGATGCGCAACACCATATAAATCGATTTTCCAGGAATCATAAAATTCACACCTAAAACTCCGCGTGAACCAGCTCATTAGCTGGTTTCAAGTTTTCATATGAATTTAAAAAAGGTGACAAGTAAATCTTTCAGTTTTAAAATATATAAAACCATTCACATCCTGTGCTGGTTTGTTTAAGCTCAAAAGAAATTGCGAATGAGTTACTTTTAATGCATGTTTTATTAGGCATCTATTTGTATCAATTAATATATATTAAAGGTTACTACACTTTTAATTGATGTTATCTGTATATATTATTTCATTTTTCTTTCTATACTTTATTATCCATTTATTTCATTAACTCATGTGAGAACAGGTTAATGCATATAATGAATACATAAATATCCCTGATCTTACGAACTCGATGCAACAGCAGAGAAATTAGTGTTCCGAATGGTCCGGCCGGTTCGGTCCGGGTTTGAGAATGACAAAAAAATAACCCGAACAGAATTTTCGGATTGGATTGCAACCTGAAAATGCAAAGGACCAAACCGGACAATATGGGTCGGTTTGGTTGATCCGACATTTACAGTGGCGCTCAAAAGTAATGCATCACTTGAAAGATAAATTTTGCGACGCAATAACTTCTCGTACACAACGTTAAACAATATATAACTAGGCTTATTTTAGTCACTAAATATA